ACACTACTGTTTGATAATTTCTGGGCCAGCGGTGTAGAAAGGAAGTATTAAAAAACAGATTTACATCATGAGGCAAAAACAAATGCTCTGCAACCTGCATCTGTAATTTGTTTTTGAAAATACATATCAGCATTAAACATCAGAATCAGAATACCTTTATTAGTCCCACAGAGGGGAAATTTGCATCGTTACAGGAGCCACAGACAGCTTAATGTTACCTATGTTAAGAAAAAAGTACTAAGTTATGATATAATATAAAAAAAGAAAAGTAAAAGAAAAAATACTTTCCAAAATACAAATCCTGTAACAGTTCTTAGAATTTAGCAGCCTGGTATATATTACACAGTTATTAATGGCTTATGTATATAATGTAATGTATATATTGCACATATAGCACATATTATGATGGTATTTAACTGCAGCAAAACTACTACTTGTTACTACTACATACTATTCATATGACTTGTTTTTTATCTGGAACTATTATGACTTAAGTCGAGATAACTGTTGGAAAACTATTTGGTTTAGGTAAGGGTAAGTTTCTCTATAAAAGACACAAATGTTGTCTGACTCTTGACATTCCATCATGATCACCCTAAAAAATATAGATATTTTAAATGTTTGATCAAAACTTCTTGATATTTAGCTGGTAAATAAATAACTACATACAGTGAATTCCGAAATAGTGTTATTTACCTATTTCAATTAAACATTGATTAGAAAATAAATATATAGAAAAACAGCAGGCTTTAGCGTTATCAGCTGTCTCTGGTGTAAACTGCCAAAGAAAATAAACAAAAAACTCTCTCTTCCAAAAAGAGAGGGCACAGCTTAATAAGTTGCCAATAGAAGTTACTAATCGAAAGAGAGAAAAAGTAAGATCAAATAAGACAGCTAAAAGTTCAATAGTATAATCTAGCAGCAGAAGCTGCAAAGGGCTGCATGCACGGTTGACACATGCATACTATAACTGATATCTATAACTGATTTATGTTAAAAGGAGAAACCCAAACTTTGATTATTGTTTTTGTGTAGAGTACAAACTTTGATATTAATTTTATAGCAGTCAATACAGAAATTCTCTGTATTTAAACTGACTTATTTTTGCCCCAAATCCAAAGAGAAACAACCCTTATTGTGCATCATAATTTCAATCAAGGATGTTATGCATTTATAGCTTCTGGTTTTCCCTGCAATAAATATAACAAGTTGCTGTGAATGAGAAGACAAACAAACAAGTGAGTGGCACACAAAATAACTCCAGTTAAAGTGACAGAAAGTCCAGGGAGAAATATACAACTGTGTAACTACTACAGTGTTTGATTGACAGGTAACCTCTGGTTAGTGTTGTGGAAGAAAAGCACAACAAAACAATAATGAGCACTTAGCAGCACATGTAGAAACCAAGCACACACATCCAACCCCCCTCAAAAATAAAAAGAGGATCCCTAGGATACTCACTTTAAGGTTTCCAGTGCAGGATCCAGATTTATTGTCTCTGTGGAGCCGGGCTCATTAAAACATGCCAGGACTGCCGTCATGAGATAATACCTGATATAAACCCAAGTGTGTGACCTACTTTATTATACGTGTTACCTGTAGACACCCACACACTATAACTCTTCTCTCACACCCAAGCACACTTATTATTATGCTTCCTCTTTTGTTGTACTCCGATCACACACATATAAACACACTCACCTAACAGTCACCCTGTGTGGTGGGAGCTTTCACCAACACGTCTGATTTGACGATTCGGTGTCACACAGAAATGTTGTTTGCTGAAAGATCGACAGACTAAAGACAAGCCTGCGAGATATGGAGAGAGTGAGGGAGGTGTGAAAGAAAACAAACTGCACAAGAAGATATGGAGGTGACAGAGGATAAAGAATGAGAAATCAAAAATGAAGGGATTAAACAATCCTATACAGTCACACTGCACGCTCACCTCCATTAGTTTTACCTGAGTTTGGTTGCAGTCAACCACAACAACAATTAACACCACACACTTGATTTAAATGGCACTGTTTATTTGCCGGACAATATTGTGTTTAGTTGCACACATTTTAGAACAGTTCACACAAGTGTTTTGTTTGTATTCATTATTTTAGTTTTCTAGGTCGTTGAGGTTAGGCATCAGCCAATTGGGCGAAACCATGTGCTTTCATGTCAAGGGGTGGGGGATTTAGGTTTCATCAGTTTCCTTTGTCTTAATTACCGCTTGTTTATTATTTGGTTTGGCCAAGCCAGTATGTTCTATGTTGTGTTACTGTGGAAGGGCTGTGTTTTCAGTGAACACCTGTTTAGCTTCTTTTATATGTATTAATCATTTTTCTGTTGGCCTCTTTTAGGCCTAATGTTTTGTATTTATTCATCTGAGACTGTTTTTAATAAACCAAACTCCTGTGTCCTGCTGCCTTGCTGCTTGGTCCCTGACAACAGTATATGAATTGATGTGTTATTGTATTGAATGGTATCCAGTCAACATGTGTATCTGTTTGCATGAGGACTTCACTTCAAAACATTATGTATTTGAAACCACTGCTGGATTTCCAAGAACAGCAAAAACACGGTGAAACCATAACATGATGATCCAACTGTCCAAAGTACAGATTCATTCAAAGAGTTAATGATGTAAGGTTTTTTCATTATCTGTGAATATATGACATTGTATTGGACAACTGTTTTCTTGCAAGTAAACACTCAAAATCATAAGCTTCTGTCGCAAGTCATTTTCTTGAGATACCAAGATTTTTTTCAATTATGAGCTTTAGAGGACTTTAGTGTATTATGGTGCATACATAAATAGTAACGGGCATTAAGTTGTCAAAAAGAAGCAAACTTAGAACTATAATGAAAAGTATTTTTAAAACTATTTTCAGATGAAAAACGCAAATGTTTAAAATACATACACATATATAAATACAACAACTTTTGGACAAATTACAAAAAAAAATAATATATTTGCATTATCAGAAATTAAACTGGCAGAGCTGTGCAATTAATAAAAAAAAATTAGAAATGTAGCAAAGATTCTGTAAGATTTGCAAGATTAACAGTATTTTGTATAAGGGTATACATTAGGTTAAGGGAGCTATTAAGTTAAGAGGAAAATGTGTTCAAGATCGAGGAAAGAAAATGAGAGACTTAGCGGGCTTGGAAAATTACAACAGACTCTGAAGAAGGTTGAACTATTGGCGTCATTTGAGGAAAAGTGATTTATTACCTCAAACACACCTGGTTGTGTTAATTACAGGAATCATTAAAGAAGACTCTTTTGAGTGCATTAAGGAAGCAATTATGGCAAATGGATGTTGGCAGTGTTGCAATATTCATTAAGCACTGATCCATAATAAAAAAACGTCACTATCGCTGTTATCCTGACACTCACTGCTTCCACTTAATTAAGAATATTCTAGTTACACACAGATAAATGAAATTCTTTATTTGTATTGATTTGATGCATGAAAACATAAAGAGGGCATTGAGTAAGAGGGTTATGGATATATACATATTAGCTGCTTTGTTTGTGCTTTAACAAGGCTCAGAATTACGGTGGCCCTGAAGTGCAAGTCAAAATAGCATTTCAGGAAACACCACAGCATTTCAGAAAACACCACAGCATTTCACAAAACACCACAGCATTTCACAAAACACTACAACATTTTAGAAAACGCTACAGCATTTCAGGAAACACCACAGCATTTCACAAAACACTACAGCATTTCAGGGAACACCACAGCATTTCACAAAACACTACAGCATTTTAGAAAACGCTACATCATTTTAGAAAACGCTACAGCATTTCAGAAAACGCTACAGCATTTCAGAAAACGCTACAGCATTTCACAAAACACTACAGCATTTCAACTTATACGGAAAGGGTATTCCTTTAGGGAGAACACTTCATGTTTGTGATTTGACAGAGCCAGCCAGAGAAGCACTGCTGTGATTGGTTGTTTTTGCTGTCAGTCAAGAAATGACGCTTCGTGATTTTGTCAGCACGCGACAGCGCAACATGTCCCAACACATCAGCCGTTAGCTGTTAGCACACAGAGCTCACAGCTCCTCAGATCTGTTCAGAAACTGGACAAAAGTTAAACAAGAACAAACAACAGACTGTCTGTGTCATGGTGAATACATTCACTGCTTTATTTATGTCTGTATGCTGTTGTTTTGAGTGTGGACAGACCTGCTACAGGTTGGTTTATCCTGCATAATCCGATCTCCATTCAGAAAACACACATTTTAAAAGGTTTTTCGCCTGCCGTCTTGTCTACAGACTTGTCACAGCATTAATTCAGACCACGGGTATTATGCATTGACGTTGTTACATTTGGTTAATTTACCGAGAATTTACATTCTTCTGTCGGTCGTAACCGAAGGTCGACTATAAATTTGAGTAAATAGATTTGATAAAATTGATTGTAATGACAAGTCTAATAAAGAGACAGGGAGACGTTTTTTTACCTACCGTCTTCTCGGCAAATTAAAAGTTTCGGGTTGTCTGACCTTATGCAAATGGACGACGATAAACAACGTAGTAACCAGCACAAATCGTTTGTATCCTCACAGTTCACATTCACGCAATTATTACCACTTGCGTTTTTTATTTATTGCGGTGATTAAAAAAATTGCACAACAATAAAAAACATGGAGTCCCGTGGCGGGCATACAAAGTCTCGCGTAGCTCAAATTTATATGTAGATGTTCGACCTACGACTGTCGGGCGAGGACGGCAGGCGAACGCGTCTGGTGTGAAGTGTAAGTGGCTTCTTGTCGTTGGGCTTGCCGGTAGCCCTTCCGTGCCCTCCGCACACATTTTACACCGCGCTCTCTCTCTCTTGCCCCGTGTTTTTTACCACGAAACAATCGTATACCTTTTTTAGGTGATTGCCTCTATTCGTCTTGCAATGTTACTTGTCTTCTGCTTTGTATTAGCGGGCTATTGACGCGGCTCGTGGAACTGAAATACGTCCATGGGCTTACCCTTGTTCACGATGCTTACCGTCCGTGAGTCGTGTCCATCCACGGTTGTAAACGTGCAGGTAGGGTTTTGTCGAGGGTTGCTAGGTAGTGTCACAGGGTGTGGTGTGGTGGCTGGTGGTGTGGTTGGTGTTGTGTGTGTGTGTCGTGTGTAGTGTGAATCTTGTCTATTTTTTACACGCTAATTAAGACGCTATTGATTACTGTTAGTACCGCTAATAGCGGCTACTTTATGAAATTAGCTGACTGTCGCGATAATTTGTACATAACCTAATAGAGTGAAAGTTGACAGACATGAATCAATTACTTTGACTATACCACGTTAACTAAACGAGGCGTGACAGAGTTTGACATTACTACGACACATACCGCTTAACAATGATTGTCTGACTAACAACAGAAACACACAGGTACAAACGTAAACAGAAAACAAATACATACAGATCTCAACAAGATAACAACCCGTGGGGAACTTAGTGCTTACACGTAGAGTTCAAAATAGGGTTACTTATTTGTAAAGGATATATACTTATTCAGAGACTTATAAGTAGTGAGATCTAGGCGAGAGCTCTAAGTCAAGGGTGGCGCCGAACAGTCGACACAAATGAGGACAGTAAGTTTGTTCTGCGTCCGAATTATAGGTTCGTTTAATGTACCATCTATGTTTGATCGATGTTGTTTTATTGTATAAAAAGGCTTAAATTTAACCATGTCATTGTGCAAAGTTTTTACTACGGCTTTAATTGAGTGTATTGACTATGCCAA